TTCAAAAATGTGACAAAGCGACACATGAAAACTTTTCTTGGATCGCGGCGAGTTAATAGTTTCTTTGGGAGACAAACAATTTCAAACTGCTCAGTTAACCTAAATATCAAGCTCACAACAAACGAAAATTGCAGTCGGTAAAAGCGTTTCTCAAAAGTTGGTTAAGCCTAAATTTGGATCAGTTTTCCGAAGAACTGAAAGCAAATTGCATATGGTTGAAGCTTTTGGTGGTTGACTACTTTGTCCTTCACGGCCCCTTCGGCAAAAGAAAAGAGCAATATGGAACCAGAAATTTCTTTAAAGGGAGAGTAGAGAAGAAAGCGAACAAACACCCCTGGCTTTGAGTTGTTTGAGATGCTCTTCTTCAATAGCAGGTTTGTGGGTTGCGTTTTCCTTTCCACTTTGCTTTAAATTCAATGATGAGCTGCGCGTCCAAGGCTGAACTTGAACACATGAATGGCTTTAAAAAAGATCACTGACACTTTCGTTACTTGGTAAAATAAGCCCAAAAAGATTGAGGCCTAAAGAAAAATGTCAGAAATATAAGCTTATATTGTGCACGATACAGTCTTCCTTTCGAGCGCCTGTTTCTTCAAGAGTTCAATTCACGATCGAATGACGAGCGTTCGAGCAAAACTAAAACCCGGGAACTGAAATAATTTATTAGAGGCTACCAGTATTTGATAAAACTTCCTTTATTAAAGCTCAGAACAACTATTACCTGTGACGTTTTTGGAACAGAAGGATTTCGTATGTAAGACTTTACAAGCAGAGATTTGTTAAAGCATTTAAATGGCTTTCGATGCCAGAAAGGTTTTATAATGAAAGCTTGTGCTAAATTTTATTGTCGTCAAATCGATAGAAAATTCTCTCTGAAATTCCCGCTATGCATTACTAATCTTGAAAGGTTGATACAGACCAGTCTGTTGTTGTTTGTTTGTTTTTTTGGTTTGTCTCCGAGTGCCGTGTACCTTTGTTCAACCAGCTGATTCAACTCCTACCCTCGTAAATTCGCAAATTTTCAGGTTGAGGCCCGGCAAAAAACTTAAGCTCGAAATTTAGAAGTTCACGGGAATAAAAATCCTCATTTTCGAAAGAAGATTAGATTTTTCCATATTTTAGGAGAAGAAACAATAGGAATTATGTTTTACAAAACGTCAACATCGATGAAAAAAATTGCCAAGAAAGAGTACAAATAAACAAACTGACTCAGCGTGCAACCCACGGGCAAATGAATCGAGCGTATCAGCCAATCAGCACGCGTGCTTCGCTAAGGCTATGTTATAAGCAGATATATAGAGAACAGCCCTTTCTGAATGAACGGCCGCAGGGGCAAATACAGTTTGCAACAGTGGGCCCATCAACAGGACTATTTTTACTGTAAAAGTTTGATTTTGTCTGACAAGAGTACTGGGTCAGAATTGAAGTGCCTCTAGTGTTTACTTACCTTTACCGATCACCTTGATGCTGGTAGCAGTTTCGACATCAGATACTCCTGCACTTGTGGCGACACAAATGTAATTCCCTGTACCGTTCATTTCTGTGTCTCTGATGACCAACGCACCATTGATCTGCTGGGTCCGCCCAGTGGGTAATTGAGCTCCTACCCTTTTCCATCTGATGACTGGTTCTGGATCACCAGTAGCGCTGCAGTTTAATGTCAAAGTGTCGCCACTACTTACAAAAACCTTCAAAAGTGGCTTAACACTGAGTCGCGGTAGGGGTACCACAACTAGAAGAGTTTTCTTGACAACACTGCCTAAAGTGTTTCTCGCTGTGCAGAGATAGCTGTCAGAATCAACTTTACGGGCGTCAAGAAGTTTCACGACACTGTTTCTAAACTGCAGCCTTTTTTGGGGTAACTGACCAAATGACTTACTCCACGTGACGACAGGCTGTGGATGGCCAGTCACGTGACAGGCTGGGAAAACAGCATCACTTCCTTCAGCAACATACACAGGTCCCGGCTGAAGGTATACACGAGGAAGAACTGAAATAAAGGAAATATATGCTAAAGCTAATAGTATCCTGTTTTTTTACATGTCAAGCGTGGATCTCAGTGTGACAAAGCCATGAGCCATAAGTAAATTCCACATAGTTACGGAAGTGATACGATATAGACCTCGTGGATTGTATTTTCCAATGAAATATCCCTTTATAACATACTTACAACATAAGGTTGCGAATTTTATTTTAGCTGACTTTAACGTCAACAGTCGCTTTTCAGTTTTCTGAATCGAATAGCAGCTTCGTGGACAGTTTTTCCAGTTTCTGACCATGACGTTGCCCGTTTTCTTGAAAACAAAAATATCGCGCGGAATCGGCGCCACAAGAACAGAGTTTACGTTTAAAAACGTTTATCCTTTCACAACGCTAAGCCATAAAGTAGAGAATTATATATCAACCATTACTTGACTGAAATACCACTTAAGTCTGATTTGCACGTACAAGCTTATCAACGGTCTTAAGGTCCTGCCTATACGACTAGGTATGCGTTTTCAATAATGGAAAAGTTGAAAGTTCTAAGCTAAGAGTGACAGGTACTAGAGTTAAGTCTTATTAAGGGATAAAAAGATATCGTACCGTTGACTAATAACTGAGCTACAGACTGAGCCTTTCCCAGGATGTTTGCGGCAGAACACTGGTACACTCCAGAGTCATTTCCGGTCACGTTTCTTAACTGCAGCTTTCCTTTGAAAACCGCCGCTCCGACGACTTCTCACTGATTGTTCAGTTTTCTCCACTCCACTGCAGGCTCAGGATTACCGCTGACTGAACACTGAAACGAGGCTGAACCACCCTCATTCACTGTCAGAGTCGCAGGAGAAACAACAACAGCAGGAGATGATATCGATTCACCGGGTTCACCTTTCGTTTCCGGCATGCCTGAGTGTCCCACATCTCCTTTCTCGCCTTTGCTTCCAGCATTTCCCTTTAATCCCGCAGGTCCCACAATGCCTTGCTTGCCGCTCTTTCCTGGCGATCCCATAATGCCCCTATCTCCCTTGCTTCCAGTTGTTCCTCTTCGTCCCCGGTCTCCTTTTCTTCCTCTCGATCCGGGTGGACCAGGAGGGCCTAGAGAGCATGTGACACCTTTTGATTGACAGAGATGAGATCTCCACTCTGATAGAAGTTTATTGAATTCGTGCATCGTGTCCGCTTTGCTTTTGGGTTCCGTCGCGTTCCTAGATGAGTCAGCTCGACGGCGGTTCCTTTGGAGCTTATAGGACTGAATTTCTACAAATGAGACGTAAAAAAAGTTGTAAGAATATACTACTACTTCAACAGAAATGTACGCGTGTCTATAGAAAAAGGCTTTATACTTGTTTCAAAATAATGTAATAGTTTAGTCCGCTTTTGAACATACCTACAGCAAAACAGCGCATGTTTCTCAATTCTGAAAGACTCTAGCATACACTTTTCTTCTTTGTTTTAACCCTTGAGACGAATGGGACAGAAATTGACATTATGTTACAAGCAAACACGCCAATTACGAGAAGAAACTGATAGGGATGTTAACATCGGCGGATGTACAGTTCAACATATCCAAGAATCCAAACTCATGTAATAAGATGTGACAACGAATCAATTGTGAGCTTTGTCGAGACGATTCCTATTTTTTATTTTGTGTCAGTCTTTGTTGAGGGAAACTCGCTCGAAGCACGATTTTTCCTCTGAAGTTGTCAGTATTTTTTTTTGTTGTTGTTTTTCAGGAAAACCTTGACCTGCTAACCTCGAGTTTGTTTGTCAAAGAAAACAGGA